TGGGTTCGTCCGTCTGTCTGTCTGTCCGTCTGTCTGTCCGTCACACTTTTTGGGACACAATAACTCTCTTCCTAATTGAGCTAGAATGTTCAAACTTGGTGTATGTGTTTATTAGGTCAATGCCTTGATGGAGTTCGAAGATGAGCATTTTCCGCTTAGGGTAAGCAGAGATAAGCAATTTGATTGGTTGATACTTTGGGGCACGATAACTCTCTTCCTAATTGAACTAGAATGTTCAAACTTGGTGTATGTGTTGATTAGGTCAATGCCTTGATGGAGTTCGAAGATGAGCATTTTCCGCTTAGGGTAAGCAGAGATAAGCAATTTGATTGGTTGATGCTTTGGGACACGATAACTTTAGTTCTAATTAAGTGAGATTGATGAAACTTGGTGTATAGTTTCATTACAGTAATACCTTGACTAAGTTTGATAATGAGCATTTTCTGCTCAGGGTAAGCAGAGCGATACGCAATTTGATTGGTCGAGACTTTGGAAAACAATAACTCTCCTACTTTGATTGTCCCCCGCCTTTCGAAGAAAGCAGGGAACTATTAAAATGGGTTCGTCCGTCTGTCTGTTTGTCTGTCTGTCCGTTCCGCTTATGGTAAGCAGAGATAAACAATTTGATTGGTTGATCTTCGAATTGAGTAAATGTTCATGCTTATTGTCCCCCGCCTTTCGAAGAAAGCAGGGAACTATTAAAATGGGTTCGTCCGTCTGTCTGTTTGTCTGTCCGTTCCGCTTAGGGTAAGCAGAGATAAACAATTTGATTGGTTGATGCTTTGGGACACTATAACTTTAGTTCTAATTAAGTAGATAAACAATTTGATTGGTTGATGCTTTGGGACACTATAACTTTAGTTCTAATTAAGTGAGAGTGATGAAACTTGGTGTATAGTTTCATTACAGTAATACCTTGACTAAGATCGATAATGAGCATTTTCTGCTCAGATTAAGCAGAGCGATAAGCAATTTGATTTGCTGAGACTTTGGAACACAATAACTCTCCTTCGAATTGAGTTAAAATGTTCAAAATTGGTGTGTATGCTTATTGTCCCCCGCCTTTCGAAGAAAGCAGGGGACTATTAAAATGGGTTCGTCCGTCGTCTGTTTGTCTGTCTGTCCGTCACACTCCTTCGAATTGAGTTAAAATGTTCAAAATTGGTGTCATAACCCAGTTGTGCAAACGAAACGTCTTTATACAAACTTTTCCTTTTTATAAGCTCGTTTATATAGTTTATGCTTTAGTTCTTGAAGAAGCTTTCCAATGTATTACCCCTGTAATTCCTCCTCTTTTATCTGTACAATATTTTCGAAAAAAATGAAACGAAATCCACTTATGTATACATTTAGGTTACATTATAGCCTACATGTCCCGACTCAACTTGCCACATTACATGTCATAATATTATAACCAGGTATTGATAAAAGCATCAATTGAGCAATTCCAATACAATCCAATACAATGAATATAGGCAAGGTAAATAAACAAATAAATGGAAAAAACAAATTGAAAAAGAAACTATTATAAATTAATTAAATATGTAGTATGCAATAATGAATTGACATTTAATGACAGAAAGAAAACAGTGAACTTTGCACAACTTGCAGCAAGATGGAAAATAGACCCGTTGATACAACCAAACTCGACGGAGGGTTGGATGGCCGAATGATTAGCTCGTGCGCTCTGAAATGAAATTAAATGAAATGAAATGGGGTTTAACGTCCTACTGTTCTGCTCCTATGCTGGGCTAATGAAGACGGGCATACGCCATACAGTGTGCTATGAGGGAAATTTGGCCCGGGCAGCGGCACTATCGCCTACTCTTATATCGAATTCCAACTGCCAAGGGATCTTTTACGTGCATTCTAATGTATACACGGGACCTCGGTTTTTCGTCTCATCCGAAGGACTAGGCAGCTGTCCTTGTCAGACCTCCAGGCTAGCTCGTGCGCTCTGTATCAAAGGGTCGGTCATTGAGTCAACTGGCGTGATTTCAATTCCCCGGTTGTACGCGACAAGGAGTAGGGTCACCTGTCCAACCTCGTGGGTTTTCCCCGGGTCCTCCGGTTTCCCCCACTGCTAAATTGAAGCGAATTATTGAAATAAAATTGAACCATATGTTAGTCCCGAAATGACGTCGATTGGACGTTAAACCCCATTTCTCTCTCTCTGAAAATCGACGAAGATTAGGCGGAAACGAAACATTTCCCTCATTTTATCTCATCGTTGTCCCCCAAAACTCTATCTAATCCTTGACAAGCACTGTCACTGTCGATTTAAACTCACAGTGTTCTGACAAGAGTGTTTCATATACCGTGTTTATACGACAAATACACGTTAGTTAGCTGTATTGAATTGACAAAAGAACGGTGACTGGCTACAGTTGTGTTTTAACCACTCTGTCTTCTTGTATTAGTCGCTCCACGTGTGTACACAGGATTTACACAAATAAAAACCAATTTCATTCATGAATCCGTAACCAATGACGATTGGCGCGGCCTGCCCTACCTCGTGCAACGCCTTTGTCGCGATTATCCGGACACTGTTCTGGTCGTATCACTGACAAGCATAAGACCGTTTGATGACATCTTCACCCCAGTGTAATAAAGTTTGGCAGTATTTAACACATCTGTGTTAGATTAGTACAAAGTACATCTCTAATGCTGGGTTTACGGTCTCTACGTTTTGTCAGTAAATACCTACTATGCAAGAAAACATATTCAAGAAACAAAAAACAATATTAGGCAAATGCTCTAGTACATTTGCCATTAGTACATTTGCCATTTTTAAAATTTTGATTTTTCGCCCTTAGTATATGTTGAAGCAGGAATTGTGGTCCAAACACTAGTCATCTTGTTGTACGATCGACATAACATTAATTGGACAATTGGGCATCGATATGACTTCACAATTCCAAGATGATGCTGATGACGTTATACTCGTTCGTAGTTGCACAGTACTTTAGCGCTCATGCTTTTAAATAGGGCGTTAAACCCCACAGAATCAAAACGTCAAATTAAAGGCTAGGTGTTCTGAGTTACCGTCATCTTAAAAAGATACACGTCATCAATATGGAGATGTGGCTACCAGGTTAATGAACCAGATTGTGCAATCAGAGGGCTAGTATATTAGAGTTTGCAACAATTTGACATTTTTAAATGCGATGAAGTTTTAATTGTATTTGATTGTTATTTTTGCTGCATATTCTGTATATATTTGCCTACTATTCACATACCCGTATCATTTGCTTCATAAAGACGAGAGTATCCTCGTCGAAACGTCGCTTAGTATTAAACTCAGTAATTGTGTATCCATAAAAATTGTACCTTGAGTTATCTATATATATATTAAAGACTAGATGTTCTGGACTACCGTCATCTATATGCAGGTTATAATGTGAAATTCTACCTTGTTTCTTTAACCCCACCTTAAATACCTGGTGTATACCTACCTATTAATATACCCTGAGTTTATATTACTATACAAGCCGACGCAATACGCTACCTGTATCTATAATACATAGGTACACATTGAACTGCGCCCTTTAATAAATACCATAGCCCTTTATAACTGCAAGTGTTATGTCGTCACGAATTATTAGGCTATCATTCAGATCTTATGTCGATACATGGCAGAATTTTTATACTTAGATCTCCATTTACATTCGTTCTACATTACTGATTATTCTTTCAAGGAAAGGCCTTGACTATGTTAAGGGAATTTTAACAACGACTAATTGAATAAAATAGGGTTTAACGTCTTAGTCTTACTAAATGTATTAACAATTTCAAGGAAAGGTATTAATTTCAAGGAAAAGTATTAACAATTTCCTCATGGAAAAGTATTAACAATTTACATCATGGAAAAGTATTAACAATTTCCCCCAAGAAAAAATGTTCACAATTTAATGATGAAAAAGTATTAAAAATTACTTCAAGAAAAGGTATTCAAAAGTTCTTCAAGAAAATGTATTCAAAATTTCTTCAAGGGAAAAGTATTAATTTCAAGGAAACCTATTATGAATGAGTGAATGAATGACACTGGTGTTTAACATCCTACTAACTTATAAACAATTTAATGGAAGGATACTAATAATTTCAATATAACATTAATAATTTCAATGAAACGTATTAACAATTTCAAGGAAAAGTATTAACAATTTCAAGGAATTTCAAAGAAAAGTATTAACTATTTCAAGGAAAAATGAATGAATGAATTGGGGATTAACGTCATGCTAAATTATTAACAATTTCACAGAAAGTATTAACATTTTCAAAGAACATTATTACCAATTTCAAGTACGGGTATAACCAATTTCAAGAAAAACTATTACCAATTTCAAGGACGGGTATTGCCAATCTTAAGGTCGGAAACGACTGATCTACAGCGCGTGCGTTAAACGTCCCTTCGGTCCAACGCCATGTTGTTATTATCTCACATCCTAAATGTCGGGATTCCCTTCCAACCGACACCTTAAAAATTGTGGGTTACTGTGATTTGGGAAATGAACAGTCTGTCCTAATAGTAATTGGGGAGGTGGGACCGCACCACATCTAAACAAGTACACAAGACAAGGTAAACAATATACACTGACAGGGTTACTCTGATTTAAGAATGGAACAATTTGTTCTAAGCGTTACTGTGATTTAAGAATGGAACAATTTGTTCTAAGGGATACTGTGATTTGAGAATTAAACGACCCTTTCTAAGGGTTAGCGTGATATGGAAATGGAATGATTTGTTCTAAAGGTTAGCCTGATTTGGAAACGGAACCATACGTTACTGTGATTTGAGAATGGAACGATCCGTTCTAAGGGTTAGCGTGATTTGAGAATGGAACATTCCGTTCTTCGAAGGGTCACTATGATTTTGAAATGTGAGGATTCGTTCTAATGGCCTGTCCAAAAGGAACACCTATACGTTGGTCGTATTTTGGGCAACCTTACCTTATACTGGCGTTGTGTGTGACATTATATTTTTATTTTTCTCTTTTCAGACATTAAGTGTATGGTTCCAGTGATACCAGTAAATGGTTTTATAGATGGAACAGATTATAGTTTAGGCTCTACTGTGCACGTGCGATGTAACCCTGGATACTATTTAGTTGGGCCATCAATAATGACGTGTCAAGCTGTACCAAATCCTTTTCATAAAATGGGAATCTGGGATCCAGCTGGTCACCGGTTTTGTAGAGGTTGGTTTCAATTCATATCTTGTCAAAAAACACCTCATCATGGGTGGTGGGTGGGTGCCGTGGGTGCATTCAGTATGGACTCCATTGGTTGGAGCCGAACGAGGCGATGTGAAAATGTACACCCTACCGTCACTCCAATACATCAACATAAAATGCCATTTACCCTTCTCATTGACAATGTTTTGTTATATCTTTTGCGTTTTTTTTTACTTTTATATGGAACACGATTGAATCCTCCCTTCACCCCACTTGAGCACCCCGCTACCCTAATTCCAAACCAACACCGTCGAATTAGATTCTAACGTAACTTTGTATCTTAAGCAAAAGAACAACGGCGACTCACTTGAAACAGTTTATCTTTAAATTCCAAATCATCTTTATGCAAAAATACCCGAATCTTTGGAGGCAGTGGTGACGGGTTGAAATCAGATCCACATACGTGTGTCATCTGGCCAGTGATTTACAATAGCACACGTGTTCGCAGACCGACAGACATGGTACCATGTGAAAAGCCAACAAGAGTTCGGGCCGGTTGTAGAAAATGCGGGGCCCAATTTGGGAGGATCGAAGTTACAAGATATGAATACATAGCAGGATATGAATAACTTTAACCAGACCTATATTCATTCATATTTAAGGTCAACTATGCTTTATTTCACAATTAGTAATTAATACATGTATACAGTTAAAGTATTAATGGGAGTTTTACTGTTGCCAGTTTGCCTGGAAATTATTTAAGTTGTTGAGCTGTGGGACCCCTTTCTAGTGCGGGCCCCAATTTGGGGAAATAGGTCAAATGTGCCAAAGACCGAACTTAATCATACATTATGCAAGAGCTAAATCTGCCTATTGCATGTCTTTCTTTAAGCCTGAAATGTTATCTAAATTATTAAATAGACTTTAATGAACTTATCCAGACCATAATCAACTCTCGATGTCATCGCTAGCCTTTGATATTTACTGGATTAGGATCCAATCTGCTGCTCTACGCTTATTCATGATTAAATCAAGAACTGGATAATCGAGGCTATGTATTTTATCGTATCGACTTTAGTAATGATGATCGAGGCTAGGCCCAAAATTCAATCGCTAAATTCTCGGTTCAGATTGGATCAATTTAACTGAAATTTTCAGCAAATCACCTTTACATTATCTAGTTTTTAACTATTATAGTGAAAACTTCCAGCTCTTTATCTAATCTCCCATAATGTATCTTTAAGTTCGATTTGCTCTGAGTATCAATAGTTCTAGTTTAGTGAAATTATTTTTGCTGGTTGTTTAAATAGACCGTAGACTATACCTGCTGTGTTTACTTTGTTTGTAGCTCGTGTTGGCTCCACATCTCCAATAGTCCGGAATACGTTACTTCCGGTAGTCCGGAAAACGTTACTTCCGATAAACAGGTACAACAACAAAAATATATGGGGTGCGACATCGAGTGTTACGAGTTTTTTAAGATTTAAATTACATCCGGATTATGATATTTTTGGAAACTCGTTTAAAGGGACAATAACACTCTTGCTGGCTTGAAAGCTCCAGAAAAAAAAATAATATCTCTATCTAAGTACTAGATGTTTAAGTGTCCTACCTGTTGTGTAAATTATCCATTACATCCTATTTTACTTGTCCAGAGGGTTCGAAAATATTTTTAAATTGAAGTTTCATTTGAAAAGGTTTACGTTAGACGTTTCAAACCATTATGTTGAATTTTTCAAAATTTTTAAATAAGGTGTGTTAAGATGAAATTTGTATCATCAATTAATTGAAATATTCTAAAATAGTACAATTTGTTGACCAGAATAAAGATTCGGGCACATTATTCAGTCACAACAAGAGTGGTATTGAGCCTTTAAAGGGGGTAGTCGGAGGGTAATAAAATTATTGGCTTTGGAAGTCGAAATATCGGGCCCAGATATATGCCGTATAGGTACTCAGACGCACGCTAACTTATTCAGCACGCACTAGCTAATAAAGGACCGTCTTCATTGTCCCCGATTGGTGCAGAAAAGCATGCCGTTAAACCCCATTGTTCAGAAAAGTAGGACGTTAATAAACCACATTCCGTTTTCTGAAGATAGTAATATATATGTATCATTTTTGAAAGTTGATTCAGAATTTATTTATAACGTAATTTATTGTATTGGTCAGTGTATCGAGAAGAAAAAAACATATTACCCAATCAGAATGTAAATTACACCTGATTGACATCTGATCGTGCGTTGCTAGGGAATGTGTTGCTAAAGTAAATATTGATTGGAGGATTTGATATTTGTTGCTAGGCGACAAATCGTGTGCGGGAGTCCACTTGATGTTTGAAAAAGCTGACTATTATCGGCACCGTGTCATATGTGGCCGGCAGAAACGACATGTCGTCACTATTTTAGGGGAACTATTTTTGTCACTAGTCGAGATGTTTTGAAACTCAGAGACACGGTGTAAACAGTGTATATTTTTATTGGTGTCTTGACGACACAGTTCATGTCAAACACGGCCATGTTCGTCAAAATGTCAGCGCTAGGTGTGACGTGATAGTCGGATGTGTTACATGGTGTTGTACAACTTCAACATTTGTACTTTCTTTTTTTTTCTTCTTCACATTTTTGTTTTTCAATTCTTCGAATCATCGACTAAGTCTATATTTACTCTAAAAAAAACTAAAACAAATTTGAATACACACTTTTAAACATATGTTAATCGAATTTAAACATGGTTGCTTAATCTTTACGTACGATATTAGGAATTTAGAAACTCATAAGAACTACAAGAGAACATTGCTTTAGCTTTGTATGACTCTGGAAATAAATTTAAATGGAGTTTAACGTCCTACTTTTCTGCACCAACCGGACTATTGAAGACGGACATACGCCATGCGTTGTGCTTTGCCGCTGTGTGGGAATTTTTCCCCGGTTAGCTGCGTTTCCGCCTCCTAGACACTGCGCCAGTTTTTTTTTCTCAAATTCTGCATACGTTCTATGTAGCTATACATTTAAATCACACCAAACTGTTTTTTTTTCACTAATATGAATGTGCCTTTAAATATGGTTATAATACATAAATGAAATGGGTTTTAAAGTCCTTCTTTTCTGCACCAACCGGGCTAATGAAGACGGACATACGCCATACAGTGTGCTAAGAGGACAATTTTACATGCAAAATGTCCCTCACACTGCATTGGCGTATGTCCGTCTTCATAACCAAGGAATGGGGAGCATTAAACCCATCTCATTTTATTTCACTACCACACGGCCACCTATGGCTAAAGACAAAATACTACCATGAAGGGAATCTAATTTGATTATGACTCATTGATTGATTCTTTTAGTAATTTTTAGTAAACCCGCGCGTGAGACTTACGCGTCACATGCGTGTGTTCGGCACCGTAGAAGATCGCAGACGGGCTGTAGACGTTTGGTCCTGCACATATAAAATTTTCACCCGGTTTCTTGCTGCTGGTCTGCGAGCTACCAAACACCCGTGCGTGTCAAAACACGTACGACAGGTTGTGAAATTTTGCACAAGGGAGACATTCCTCACAATACCGGCCATGGTGAATTGACGAAATCTCGCGTTGATAAACGAGATGATGGTTTATTTTTAGCGACACTAACACCACGTGCTAGGGTTAGGATTAGGGTTAGGGTTGAGTTAGGGTTAAGGTGGTCCAAAAATTGGGGTTTGGTCCAAACATTCTAACGTCATGTGCAATTCAAAGTGTTTGACCTCGTGAGCAATGTTTCCCCGGCGACCAACCTCAGGTTATGAGCTAGGCGTTAGGTTAGCAAGCCAACGTTTTCACCCACTGTCACTGAGCCACCATGGCTCTTTCATTGCGATATACGCTGTTTGGTTGCTTTTTTTTTCATTATTTCAATCCATCCATCTTGTATTTCAGAGAGACAAAATGAGAAGATGTTTGATGTACGAGATCTTCCCGCCTATAATTATGCTGCTGAACCAGCTACAGCAGACGATATACCGAAATATGGCGTGATGGGATTGAAATATTATCAAAAACGAGACACAGTTCGTAAGTTTTTATTTATTTACATATCGATAAATTCTACTATAGGGTGGGGGGAGAGAGAGAGAGAGAAATGGGGTTTAACGTCCATTCGACACAAAGTAGGTCATTTCGTTCTGTTCATCGATAAATTCGGGCAAATTCTTAATAATAGACCTCCGAGTCATATATTTATTACCCTACGCGCAAGACACTTCATTTTTAAGATTTTTAACGACTACCTAGGACAAACTCTTGCGTTAATCTATCGTAATTTTGTTTTCAAAGCACTGAAGAATAAAAGCAAGCGTTAGGTCATACTTATTTACATTACGCAAATGACTTCTAAAGTCTTAGATGTGGAGACATCATAAGATAAAGGAACAAATCACTTGTGCCTCTTTGCAAAAAGGATAATACTTTTTGCAATTATTTTTCTATGCTGCCGCACGTGTAAAAAGGGTGTTACACTGGCATGTGAAATATTCCCTTTTTACGTCAAAAAACCCAACCCTGAGCTGTGGACTATTGAAGTCAACGATGTATTCAGAAAAAAATGCATTTATGCGTAAGTGCTCCCATTCATTTCAATAACGAATCGTTGGCCGATTCCTTTAGAAACATTTTAATTCAACATTTACAGGAAGCATTTGAAAATCTTGAAACAAAAATTGGTGAATGAAAGCTGTGACCTGAATAAATATGATCCAATCGAGGGACTAAAATAAAAATAAAAACTCAGAAAATCACGTTTAATCAAATTGTCGTCAAATAAACGCGTGTGATACAGCGAATTGTCATTGTCCAAAGACACAGCCTTGACCGCTTTTCTGTTTCCTTGTATGTGTGACGTCAAACTTGACCCGATTCTGATATAACGGTACCACGGGAGATCACTCCCATACGTGTCCAAAACAATGTAGAAGTACATATAGTACGAATCTCCAAAAATAGCATTTAATATGTCTGATGTCGAACAACAAATCCACAATTTTGAACGATCAATGGGCTTTGACCTTTTGAAAGAATATTGGACAGTAGATGACCATTCTTGGCCGCAGACGTCTAGCTCCTTTGAGTTGACTGTCAGGAAATAAAAAACGAAAACGCCTTTGATTCGACTTCCGCCCAGCCAATAATAGATTGATGACATAAACAAACGTGCTAGATTTAAGCTGAACGTGCTTATAAGTTTGGACGCGCGTGGACACAACTATTTGGCGGCAAATACCAATTTGTAATTAATAAATCTATGTTGTATAAGGATATCGAAACAAAAACTTCATAAAACCCATGACGCAAGTTTAGCTTTGAAACTTTCCATTGTGACATTCATTAGCTACGTATTCTGTTTGAAATTTAACTTTCCATTGTGACAGTCATTAGCTACGTCATATATCTGTTCTTAATTCAATTATGCAATGTATTATATCCCGCGCCGATTGATGTTGAAATTGTCCCCACCCGTCCTTCCGTCCTAATTCTGTTTCCGGGGCATATCTTAATGACACTTTGTAGGATGTCTATTGCTAATTAGAAATGCTCGGGATGTAATCATTTATGTTTGCATGAAAACAAATCGGACATAGTTAATTTTTGCTATACAAGGGCCCGGGTACATTGACTGGGTCGACAGCAGCATGGAGAGCTGGGCGATATATCCTTGTAAACAGATATCGCAATATTTTTTGAAAATATCACGATATAATCACTATGTTCAATATCATCTAGAAAAATCAAAACCGCGATATCGGTTCGGTTTTTCGATATTTTTTCTCTGAAGACGGTATTTTTGATGGTTTTTATTTCTGTGACGGTTTTATATCGAAAAACCGAAATATCGCCTAGCTCTAGCAGCATGCCATATGTTCCAGTTCGGGAATTTGCAAAATTACTTCACTTCAGTGGAGAATGATTTTTTTCCAATCAGCCTGGATAACGGGGCAATCCCTGTTATTTACAAATTGTCAGTGCGCGTGAATGATCCCTTGCCAGTTGTGAAATGAAATGAAATGAAATGGGGTTTAACGTCCTACTGTTCTGCTCCTAAATTGGGCTAATGAAGACGGGCATACGCCATACAGTGTGCTATGAGGGACCCTTGCCAGTTGTAATACGAAGACTAAACGAATACGCCACCGCACAGCACCACAATCTTCATCGCATTCAATAATTATCATAATATGTTCGTCAGACAATTGATGAACCACACGTTGAAAATCGATGAATACGCCCATTTCATTAGTCGGTCACGATATTAGTCAGTGGACATGAAGGGGTGGGATCAGAGAGAGAAGTGGGTCTTTAGAAGTGGGCGAAACCAGAGGACCCGGGGAAACCCCATGAGGTTGGACAGGTGACCCTACTCTTTGTCACATACAACCCGGGAATCGAAACCACGCCAGTTCGCTCAATGACAGACTTTATGATACAATGCGCATGTGCTAAACATTGACTTGACAGGTGCCTCGTCGAAAATCGGAGAAATCGCCCATTGCGTTTGTCAGTCATGACATTTGTTGTACTTTATTGATTGCAATGTAAGTGTAGTTTGTGTCCTGTCCACTTGGTTGTCTTTCCGGTTTTGTTTACATGCAGTGCAGTCCTCTTGCACTTACTATTAGTGATAGAACATGAAAGAGGCGGGATTGTTTTCATGATTTGACAAAATATATAGAAATATTGGGATGATATAGTTGATATGATGATATCTTTATTATGAGATAGAGGCCTAGACTTTGTCACAGTTATCACCTATATTTTTATCTGACCTGATCTGACTGTGTTTTATCAGAATTACACCGGGGTGTACGGGTACCTTCTTATTATCAATTTATACTATTTACTCAACCGAGTTCAACAGTATTATAGGGTGGGGGGGGGGGGGCATTGACGAATGGTTTGCGCGTACAGTGGTGAAATCATAAGGTCTGTCATTGAGTCAACTGGCGTGGTTTCTCTGGGTCCTCCGGTTTCCTCCCACTGCTAAAGACCCCTATGTGCAAGCTAGTTATTAAAATAAAACTGAACCATATGTTAGTCCCGGAATGGCCTAGTTTGTGTCGATTGGACCTTAAACCCCATCTCTCTCGCTATCGCTCTCTCTCTCTCTCTCTCTCTCTAAAAAAACAGGGAAGATATTAAATTAATATGATGCAAATCATTTCTGGAAACACAAACCTACCTCAAATTTTAATTGCCAACATCCTATATATATACCCGACAATTTATCTGGGTTTCCGTAATACTATCAAAATTTCTTCCGTTGACCATTTTTCTGTGTAAATAGAATATAGAAATATGTTGAGTCAGATTACTATTATAACTGTTTACTACATGTATTAAATCTATGAATGAAAACCAACCTCTGTTTATGAACTTGAAATTTTTCAAGTAACTTTTTTTTTTCTGAATATGTTGGCCTTAATCAAAAAAACTAATGTTACAATAACAGAACTGTTATGGAGAAATGTACTGCAAATGTTCTTTTTTTATTAAAGAGAGAGAGAGAGAGAGAGAGAGAGAGAGAGGGGGAGGGGGGTAATGTCCACTCGACACAAACTAGGTCATTTTGGGACTAACATATGGTTCAATTTTATTTCAATAATTTTCTTGCGCATGGGAGGAAACCGAAGGTTGGACAGGCGACCCTACTCCTTGTCACGTACAACCGGGGGATCAAAACCACGCCAGTTGACTCAATGACAGATCTTATTATGGAGCGCGCACACGCTAACCATTCGGTCATCCAACCCCCCTTTACTAGAATCACAATTAGTAGATTTTTGATGCATGATGCGCTATTGAATCTCCTGCAAACTACAATATTTAAATTGTTAATTAAATGTTAAATAAATATATTAGCGTGGATTAAGTCGTGATGATATTTTCCGAAAGATGCAAATCACACGTATCGTTACTTCAAGGCAACAAATTTTTAGCGATTCGATAAATAAAAAAATATTCAAATGTAATGACAATGCAAGGAGTCTTACTTGTGCCCATCGTTTTAACAGTGAATTGAATTGAATAAATAAATAAATAAAAAAATTTAAAAAGTGAAAAATAATAAATAAATGTATTCGTTTTAATAGTGATGGCAAGTGAATTGAAAAGGTATTGCAATTAAATTAAATTATTAAATTAAATTAAATTAAATTAAATTAAGGTATTGCAATTAAATTAAATTATTAATTAAATTAAATTAAATTAAATTAAATTAAATTAAATTAAATTAAATTAAATTAAATTAAATTAAATTAAATTAAATTAAATTAAATTAAATTAAAATTAAATTAACCTTATTTTAAAATCACTGTTGCCTCGATTGTCATTGCTACCGCTTTCACGATAGTTAACAAAGTCTCGATTATCCACTTTTACGTTTAATCATCAAAGAACGTTGAATTGCAAATCAGATTCAAATCCAATGAAAATCGGACATACAAGATGGCATCGAGAGCTGATTATGTTCTTTTCATGTTAATAAATGCCGAATTAATAGTTTATATAACATTTCAGCTCTAAAGAAAGGCCTGCTATAGGTAGATTTAGCTATTGCATAATGCATGTTTCAATTAAATTAAATTAATTGATAAATAATTAAATAAAATAAAATAAATAACAGCCCTGTCTATATGAATCCCGAGCGAATAAATATTCGACATACCTTCGCACCTAACTACTTTCTAAATTCGAGGGTGAATTATTATTATTATTATTATAATAATATTTTCTATTAATGTATGGGAAGGTGTCGAGGTATGTCTGTGTTTAATTGGCACGGGTTTGTCATATCAATAACTAAACAGCAGTGATATATTGGACCTAATTGATCTTTAGATGGCTGTATTTGACTGTAACAGGCACGAACAGTCCGCGAATTACATGTGTTAAAAGCTGTGTTAAGTGGTTGGTGGCTTGTACCTATGATCCGTTTCTGATGACCACAGTGTTTGAAACAATTGGTATCACCCACCCCCTTATAGAATATATAAGTACCTTGATTATTGAGATGCATTAACCACTAATTTGAAAGACATCCTTGATTTAGTTTTAAAAAAATAATGTTTTGAATTAGACTGCTCTCCCGTGTATTATATTTAAAAACAATTGGTACCACCCAGCCCCTTATAGAAATTATAAGTAGCTGACAAGGAAAGCTGTCTAGTCGTTCGGATAGGACGAAAAACCGAGGTCCCGTGTACACATTGGCGTGCACGTAAAGAATCCCTTGGCAGTTGGAATTCGATATAAGAGTAGGCCGTAGTGCCGCTGTCCGGGCAAAATTTCCCTCATAGCACACTGTATGGCGTATGCCCGTCTTCATTAGCCCAGGTTAGGAGCAGAACAGTAGGACGTTAAACTCCATTTCATTTCATTTCATTTACCTTGATTATTGAAATGCATTAACCGCTAATTTGAAAGACATTCTTGATTTAGTTTTTAAAAATTAATGTTTGGAATTAGATTGCTCTCCCATATATTATATGTAGAAACAAATTTATAAAATTAGGTTTTTATTTAGAATCTCTGAGTGTACAAATTTCACTTCCGTCTTCACGAGCCCAGTTGTATTTAAAACGAATGGGAGCCACGGTGGCTCGAGAAAGTTCATCGGGATTTTCCGACGTGGTTTCCCCTTGGTGCAGAACGGATAACTGACAAGAACAGCTATCTAGTCATTTGGATGGGATGAAAAACCGAGGTCCCGTGTACAACTTAGCGTGCACGTAAAAGATCCCCTGGCAGTTGAAATTCGATATGAGTAGGCCATAGTGCCGCTGCCCGGCCAAAATTCCCTCATAGCACACTGCATGGCATATGCCCGTCTTCATTAACCCAGTCGGAGCAGAACAGTAGGACGTTAAAACCCCATTTGATTTCATTTCATGTAAAACGAATGGTTCATTTCATGTAAAACGAATGGTTCATTTCATGTAAAACAAATGGTTCATTTCATGTAAAACAAATGGTTCATTTCATGTAAAACGAATGGTTCATTTCATGTAAAACAAATGGTTCATTTCATGTAAAACAAATGGTTCATTTCATGTAAAACGAATGGTTCATTTCATGTAAAACAAATGGTTCATTTCATGTAAAACGAATGGATGTTAAAGCTCATTTCATTTGTTGTAAAACGTATAACACAATTACTTGTATTATTACGAGGATTTTTTAAAAAATATTTCTTTTCTTTTATTTCAGCGGATAAAAGTTCAGAACATTTACCAGAACAATGCAGCCTTCCAGTAAGAGAAGGGATGTGTGGGGGTTTCTTTAATAGATACTATTTTAATATGGAATCAAAGGAGTGTGAACCGTTTGTTTACCGCGGTTGTGGCGGTAATGGAAATAACTATGAAAATTTAGCAGAATGCTTAAAAACGTGCTACCTTCCATCTTTACTACCCATAGTTCCACCGCCTTAGTGCTATAATTATTGGTTGTTATGTTTTTTTTATCGTGAAACCTGGTCAAACGAAACAAAAAAAAAAAGAAAGAAAAATCAAATAAAATTGCTCGGTTCTAAACTAATTATATCAAACTACAGAAACTTGCCAAAACTGACCATTTTGTGAGATCAGATTGCCCAGGTTTCACTATAGTTCTTGATCTATGGTCTTTCGTTAGAAATCCATTAGTCGTTCACTTATGTAATGTTGTATGTTTCGAATTGAATGATAATTACATTTTAGTTTAAACCACTACCATATCTACTTCTCGCAAAATGTAACATTTGATCAATGCCATGGCAATTGTGAGAGAGGGAAAGGATTGTTCTGTTCATATTCTCTTACGCGAAAACTTAATACACTGTAATGCAAATGGACTAAAATTGAAATAATATAATATTATGTAATGACATGACGTCAGGTCAAGCGTTAAATAACGGCATGTGTAGAACGAAATAACGTCATGTCAAACGAAAAATAAGGTCATTATGTATTGCGTGCAATTAAGACATTATAGAATGGCGCCATCTGACGTTTAGGTTAAACTGGTCTAATTAAAAACTGTGGCACAATCTAGAAGTTATCTCATCACATTACTTTGATATTTAGCGACTACAAATGGCATTTCCTGACGGTTTGAGTAACTTATACAAAGTTATCAGTCATAATGATAGGCAAATATTTGTCTCAAGGCCACATGAATAGACCGGAAATTGACCCTCTGTATCTGTTATATCCGGATAGAAAGAAACTGTAACAGAAAATGATGTCAAATAATCAACAAAACGTAGAATAAACAGTACATAAATACAACCCAGTCAATTCAGATAAAAACGCAACAAAACTAAAACTCACAAAAAATCCGCAACCTGCGAAGATTTAAAACCCAAATGTTGGAGAGACGTCATAGGGGATATTTCCGTTCCCCAATCTCTTTCAATTTTTAAATCATATATTGTTTAAAAAAAAAAAAAAAAAAATATTCATTTTATAACTAATGTCAATTTTGAAAAGTTTTCAATTGGTTTCTTAAAATTTGAAAATGGTTTAATATTGGTGTGATTCAAAAATGTCACAATATTCTACAGTCTATAGTGAATATAAACGATAACTTTAACGGCCAGTGCTAAATGTACTGGTATATATACAACAATATATATTAGACTATATCAACAAATGAAAGAAAAGTAACTGTGAAATAGAAGTAACTTTGAGAAAAAAGTAACTTTGAGAAAAAAAAGTAGCTTTAAGAAAAAAGTAACTCTGAAATAAAAGTATCTTTGAAAGAAAAGTAACTTTGAAATAAAAGTAATTTTAAAATAAAATAACTTTAAAATAAAAGTAACTTTGAAAGAAAAGTAACTTTAAAATAAAAGTAATTTTGAAATAAAAGTAACTTTCAAATAAAAATAACTTTAAAATAAAAGTAACTTTAAGATAGAAGGAACTTTGAAATAGAAGGAACTTTGAAATAAAAATAACTTTGAAAAAAAAATTAACAATTTAGAAAAAAAATAACAATTTAAAATAAAAATAACTTTGAAATAAAAGGAACTTTGAAATAGAAGGAACTTTGAAATAAAAATAACTTTGAAATAAAAGTACCTTAAACCAAATACTCATATAAAATGTAACCTGGATATGTTAATATGGTAATATCTAAATATAGGCCACAGACTACACAATCTACAAACATAATACATGTATAATATAATAATTTCTAATGTTAATTTTTCTCACCCCCAGAAAAATAAAGAGGTTGGGAAAAATCTAATTATAAGATATAATATTTTAATAATTTTTCGATTACATATACCAATTTAGAATATGCTAGGTATCTGCTTTATATATTTGTTTTAAATGTTAACAAAAAAATATTCAGAAACTTGATGTACATTGTGATACAATTTGCTTTAATTTGCGTTTACGAAATAACTTATTGATGTAACTTGTTACTGAAACAGTTAATTTCATCGACGAATGTGTGTCATGACGTAATTATATGATGATGTCATTAATACTAATAATAATGAACAGTTCTCCATTTTGTATTTTTGAAATCCATTTGTCACATTGTTTGTTTATGGTGTTTCTTTGTTCAGACTGATTTGGGTGATCAGGTCGGTTAGAGGGGGTCATATCCAAAATGAAAATTCATCTCTCGGGAATTCTGGGTAAGGGTTAGAGTTATCTACCTTGACTCCCAAACCCTTGTACTGTCGAACTCGACTTGTGGACATTTCTGACCTTCATTCTAGACGTCAAGCTTATTCCTATTCTGACTCCAATACAAGTCAGAAAACGAGTGACGTAGGAGCGAGAAGACTGACGTATTAGAGCAGGTCAAAGCCTCAAATATAATAATACATAAGGCTCTGGAGGAGGATAACAAGTCTACCTCCACGCACCCCGACCGGCCAACCTACCCAAACCGACTGACCATTGACCCAAAATGGATTTGTCATAGTGCTTTTTATACTGTTTGTGTAAATTGTTTGTTTGTTTATTTGATTATAATATGTTCACGTGTTTTATACTATGTAGTTGTATAATTAGTCAGATTACCTTCTTGATAATTTATTTATTTATTAATTAATTAATTAGTGTAACATTAGCTAATAGGACGTGTATACTTTTTAATTTTAGCCTAGATTTACAAAAGTTCAGCGTCATTATTTTGAATGTCGAGAAATTTATTTTTTGGAAATAACGAGTGTTTATTTGTAAAAGAAACCGTTGTTTATAAGAGGGAATATACAACTTGCATATTTCTGTCCTTTTGCCTTAATCTTACAAATGAAAAGTTAAATGGGCATTATCACTGAACCACAAAATGAATCTAAATATGTACGAATCTTAAAACTTAAATATCCCACGACAGAATTCACAGCTTCGTCTCAAATTTTGTCCACAATGCAATTTTAATATGTCCTATGTAATTCTTTAGTCGGACCTTACCAAATATGGGGAGATCTCTAAAGCGATAATGCCTCTTTAATTTTCGTTTAAATTTTGGAAACACCGATGATAAATTTAATGGTGCGTTGTTTAAACGTCAACCATAATGATATAATAGGAATAATGCTAGTATTTTTCCAGCATAATAAAAGCCCCATGCTGTGATCTTATATAATATTTAACATCTATATATTCATATATACGTATACAATAATCTTATGGTATATGGTATACATAGTAATCGTAATCTGGTCAAATGGTCAGATGTTGTAATAATAATAATAATAGGCACAAATTCCAAATTCTGTTTAAATTCCGTTTAAAGGCCTTTAATTGATTCAAAAATTTTGACTTTTGGATTGTATATCCGGGGATTTCAAGGGTCCAAAATTACATCATGGGCAAATATATTGAAGTAAATGAACATTACCAACGTTGACTCGGATATTCGTATATCAGACATATACTACTTAGGCCAACATAAAAACACCTGTGTTTACGGCTACCTGGCAGACCTGATTGTTTTAAAGCCAAAATCGACGAAATTATAAAGTGTTTTTTCGTCATTTCCCAGGTGATAGTTCTCGCTATAATAGTTAAAATATTGATAATGAAAACAGAATATACTGAAATTTTCAGTCAAATTGCCTCATTCTGAAACGAGATATTAGCGATTCGATTATCCATTTTTACGTTAATTCATCCATCACAAAACATATTCAAATCCACTAAACGTCGCAGGCTAACGATGGCATCGAGAGTTGATTATGTTCTTGATAAGTTAATCAATGTTTAATTAATAATTTAGATAACATTTAAGGCCCAAAGAAAGGCCTGCAATAGCCAGATTTAGCTCTTGTATATGTTTAATTTATAAGTCCACTTATTTCTATCTAATCTTACCCTCACAAAAAGAAAGAAAGAAGATTTCAGATCGACCTACCCTATTTTGGGAAGCCAAATAACTGTAAACCCAGGCATTATTTGTTTGGCCTTATTTATACCCAATTCTGATTTATACACTTATAGACTAATTTATGATAGTTATCAATGACAAAGTTGAGCATGTCTAACGGATGTACGAATTCTTATCTCCGAGTGGAAATTTGAAATAATTTCTTATGTAATCTTAAGACAGGAAGTGTGTCAATTAACTCGTACGAATGCCATTTCAAAACTCGAAAAATAAATCAGAAGAAATTTGGCAGGTTTGCTATGTTCGTTAATTAAAATAATGTTTAAATCTGTTACCATCGATATTATGCAACTTTGTTTACGCCTTTATATCTAATATGATAGTTCGTGTTTTTTATTGTAGGGAAATCTTAATTGTAGGCCGGGTGGGAAGATTCGGGAATTCCCGGAGTCCACAATGGCCGCTTTATATGAATGAATATTTTGGGGAATACTAACCCTAACCCTTTTTAGAAGACTCTTAAAAGAGTTACGGTTAGGGTTAGTACTCCCCAAAATACTCATTCATATAAAGCGGCCATTGTGGACTCCGGGAATTCCCGAATCTTCCCAACAGGCCTACAATTAGCATTCCCCATATGGTACTTGGTAGCCCTAGGCCTATATAAACTATACGTGGTTCGAATATACAATGTCGTTCCGTTCATCTTTTTTTTCCAATTTTAAACACTACATTGTAATCCAACAAGTTTCTATGGGACCGAGTTCTGCTATGAAATGCTCTTACGCTTTAAATCCAAAAGGTTTCTATGGGGACCACGTTGTCTACACTCAGCAAAGCTCGGCAGATTCCGGTACCCTACATGTAGGGTAGTGCCTACTGGAATCGGCTGAGGTTTGCCGAGTTGTGTTGTCTAGTAAAAGTTCTTTTGATATCAACTCGTAACTCTGCCCGGTTTTAAAAGTATTACAATCCACAACCCTACATGTAAAACGGGTAATTTTATTGGTAAAAAAAATTCACCTATTCAGAACACCAACTTCAAAGAAGTTATGTTAGATGGCAGTGTAGTAAAAAATCAAAAACAATGAAACCTGATTGTACTCAAATTGTGTCTGGATCAAAGTGTGTCAAGCTTTGCTTTCGAAAGGCTGGGTGTTCACAAGTTCTCACGGCTGACATGGAAGTGAGGGTTCTTGACATTAATAATGTTATCAAATCATTAATGTAGCTATAATTTCGTAGATATTATTGTATCAAGCCCCTATGTTGTTTAATGAAATTAATTTGTATTTAAGTCTTCAATGAAAATGTATATATAATTGCAATATTATGAAAATATTTAATTTCCACAAGTGCCAAAGCATATATTATATAAAAAAAAACAAATTATAATTTTGTTGTGAACAAACGCATGGAGTCAATAATAGGCTTATTATTTTTATTTAATCTCTCGTGTATGAAAAGTCGATGATTGCTATTATTTTGATACTCAGAGAAAGGGTATTTTGGCCAATAGATTGGATAACCGTACGAGTCTGGTATAGACACGATTATCAGTCAATTTGACGCTGAGCCTTGAAGATTTATCAAATACCAATCGACTGATATCCGTGTTTTTTTTTCGGTTTTTTTTCCATATTATTGTATAATAGTAAATATGTATATATAATACAGATAATCATTCTACGCATGACATATGCCCTCGTTTCTTAATAATTTGGCGCTAAGCGTCTTGGCATAACCATGTTCACAATGACATATATATTACGGACAATGGGCATGCCAAGATGGGCGTTAAACTGCAATATTTTGCGTTTGTGAATAACAGAAGACAAAAAAACGAGGTTATTTAATACTTTTTTTTTCTTTTTTTTTTCTAAATAGCTTTTTGAAACGACATTATTAAAATTAGACATTCGCACGCAATACTTATGTAATTTATGTAGAATAATAAATAATGTATATTAGATGTAATAAAAGCATATTATATTGTATAGCCTAACTACTCCCATATACATAAGCCTCACTATTTGGTCTATTAGAGTATTTGTGTGTCAATGATTTTGTTGAATGTGATAAGCGAATGTGAAATATTATACAATGAAATCATTATGTGTTATTGTACTGTGAAATATTGTGTAATGTGGAATATTGTGTAATGTGGAATATTGTGTAATGTGAAATAGTATGTAATGAAATCAATACATTTGTTTATTTTTGTAGATTTTCTTTAATTGTATGTTTTATATTTACATTGAAAAAAATTTCTATCATAGAGACTTGTAATAAACAAACAAATCATATCAACAAAATAAACCTGTGTCTGGTTTGTTTTTCAAGTGGGGGTGGGGTAACTCACCCGTAGTCAAAGGTGTTCTTAAAGTTAACTGGAAATACTTATTTTTTCCACTTTGAGAGGCATTTGTAAGAGTTGAATCTGCCTGATGCAGATCTTTCGTTTGTCCTCAAATGTTGTAAGTCCTTAATTAGACATTTATTCACATGCCAAGCCAAAAATCAACGTTCTAGATCATCGGATATTTTTAATTTTCAACAGATTTAAACACGTTTGCTAGTTAATGATTTAACTAAAAAAATGGATAATCGAGACGGCAATAACGCCCAGAATGAAGTAATTTAACTGAAATTTTCAAAAAAGTCCCCTTTCATTATCTATTTTTTTAACTATTATAGCGAGAACTGTCAGCCCTTTATCTAAATCTTACATAATACATATTTTAACTAAGTGTGTTACCTGAAAGTGTGTTAACTGAAATCGGTATTCAAAGGCTGAATATTAGATATCCTTGGCTTTGCGAAAAACTTAACTGCACACTAATTTATGGAATGCCATCAATCGTCAAAAAGCATGAATTTCCTAGATTAAAGTAGCTAAGTCTCTAACTCAATATCACCAAAAATCTTCGACATTGAAAACACGAATTATTTGTCATTTCAAATTAACATTGGACTTGTGATCTTACACTGAAAAGATGGGCTTCTGATATTCTAAATTCAAGACACAATAAACATTTTACCATTGGTATTGGTAACGAATCGTGTACCATGATGCGTTTCAGCGCCATTTAGAACAAGGGATTCAAAGAACGCGGCTAGACATATTCCACAGGTCAGGTCAAATGGTGACCCTATATTCGTATCTGGAGAGCATGCGCAGTAAATACCCTTGCTATAGAGAGAGAGAGAAATGGGGTTTAACGTCCACTCGACACAAACTAGGTCATTTCGGGACTAACATATGGTTTAATTTTATTTCAATAATTCGCTTGTGCGTAGGGGTCTTTAGCAGTGGGAGGAAACCGGAGAAAACCCACGAGGTTGGACAGGCGACCCTACTCCTTGTCACGTACAACCGGGGATTCGAAACCCCTTGCTATAGACTGGAATAACCAAACGCCAACGATTGCCATTCAATTGAAACTTATGGCGTATTCCGCCGAACACAACTGAATGTAAATCTGTTTATTACATTCATATTACATTTGTGTCAGTTACTAGGTCCCAAATATTAGCATTTTAGCTCCTTTAATGTTTGTTGAATTATTATTTTGCAACACGTGGAAATATTATGACTATAATACCCATTATTTGCGGGAATAGTCTGATATGATAAGCTTTATTATCTTAACGTAGAACGAATAGAAAACATCTTCTTCTTACCAATACGCAAGACCTTCTGGCTTTTATATATTTGTAAATGTATATATACTACTTCCAACCCACAGCTAACTTCAATATATATGGGAATGATTTTTGCTGAAATCTACAATGCATTGCCATCACAACGTCAAATTTTACAAATGAATTTAAAGCGAGAATTTCATATTTTCTAAGAAAGTCAAAACATAATTATTTTTATGTCTTTGACTCAATAGGTTATCAACTCACTATTATACGACCATGGGCATTATTTCCCACCCTTAAAAATCATTGACACAGGAAATAATAACACAATTACCTCCCTTGTTTTCCTATTGCCTCCATGCATTAGCTACCTTCAAACGTTGGAATTTAAAGTTGAAAATGATATTTTTGCCAATTTCTCAGCTGGCAATAGTGAATTATAGGATTAATAGGATTATTCTTTAACAAGGTAGGACGGTTTATGGATACCATCTATTTTAAGGCTTTATTTTAATAAATTTTAAAAATATAACTTAAAAATATGAAATTGTAGCTTTAACGCATCAAACTTTATCATGTGACAGCTGTGATAAAAGTATATCTTTGTAGTCCGGCAGCCGGTTGACAAATTTGGAAATATAGTGCACCTAATGTGTTTGATGAATTATATATCTTCAGTGTGTGTAGATTCAGAATCAGAATAATGCCACCCTTGAAGAAATTTATATTATATATCTTCAATGTGTGTACATTCACAATCAGAATAATGCCACCCTTGAAGAAAACTGGGGAAATTCACTGTTGTTTTTATTAGAGGTAACCAGTGTAATAATGTTAATAACAGGCCAATTGCCTACAAATGAACACAAACAGTTCATATGGACGACTTATCTGACGGCCCCATTTCACTCGCAAAGAGATACATCGTCAAAAGTGAAAATGGACGTTTTTGATTTTTGTCTTAATAATGAGTAATTGCTCCACCAATCCTCAGACATTCAGAAATTAGCCGTGGTATGCTCCTAATCAACCGTCCAATCACGATTTGGGGCAATCTGATCCACTCCTCTTGCAGTGCTACGGCCAATTCTTGCAGTGTTGTCGGTTGACGTTGACGTCGACGAACACGTCTCCCGATCAAATTAAACGTAACACACTAAAGCAAAGATACGCTAAACCGATAGGAAAGCAAACATGGATAGATAAACCACCACGCGGCAGTTTTCATCAACCCTTCCTTGAAGTGTCAAATTTGACAATGTCGCCCCCCCCCCACACACCCACACACCCACACGTGTATGGCGCTATTGCGTGTCGCATGTGCAGCTCAGTGGTTCTGTTGGGGGTATGTAAGGTCTTCATCTGTGAACATGCTCTCAAAGCATGTCAAACGTCCATGACTATTTATCATATCGCAACCTGCATAGGTATTTGCATTTCAATATCCCCTACTTTTTTTGAAGAGTACATGTATATATATTCAAGATGGCCGTCTTGAGGAATTTGTTGGTTATTTAGTAGGGTACAATTTCGATCTGACGGTGGTACTTTTCAGAATTCGACCAGCAGAATCCAATAAGCTTGGATATTTCTCCTAAAAGTGACGGCTTATTCCGCTAGCTGGCCAAATTCAAAATTCGTAGGTTCTGAACCAATTTGATTGAAATACAGATCTATATTTCGTTTTGTTTTTTTATACTTTCGATGGCCTACACTACATGATCTGACCAGTTGTTTTGGGAGGTCACTTCAGAGGTCATACGAGCGGCTTTTGACTCTATGACGTCAGACATTTGATTAACCAATCAGTATTGATGTTTCTAGTGGATCACCCACAGTTCCGTGCACCTCACGCCAAAAGCTCGCCATAATGTTTCATTGGTTAATCCCTCACACCATCCAGAACACGTCAATGATAACAACTCTTTCAGATCCTAGTGCAGTAAAGACAAGTAAAACGAAATTTTTAACTATAAAAAACGAAACGAAATACATGTAGGATCTGTGTTTTAATCAGATTGGTTTTGAACAAGGATCAGAATCAAAGATCTTAATTTGTGGGGTGATAACATTGGTTAATAATAAAGGATCCTGATACATGAGCTGTTAACATGTGTTAAGTCATTTTGAGACTAACATATTACATTAATTCGCTTTAGCATAGTGGTCTAGCAGTGGGAGGAAACCGTAGGACTCAGAAACCCATGAGGTTATGTATGCGTCCATACTCCTTGTCATTTACAAGCGTTGGATCAAAACCACTGAACACCCCCCCCACCCAGGCCCCCTCCACAACATATTTTATTAATTCCCTTAAGCACAGGGATCTAGCAGTGGGAGGAAACTATAGGATCTGGAGACCCACAAGGTTATGCAGGCAGCCATACTCCTTGTCATGTTGTACAAGTGTGGGATTAGTCATAACACATTGCATGACATCAATCATAGCCCACTGCATGACATGAATTATAGCCCACTGCATGACACGAATTATAGCACACTGCATGACATCAATCATAGCACACTACATGACATCAATCATAGCACACTGCATGACATCAATCATAGCCCACTGCATGACATCAATCATAGCACACTGCATGATAATCATTGCCCACTGCATGCCATGAATTATAGCACACAGCATGACATCAATCATAGCACACTGCATGACATGAATTATAGCACACTGCATGACATCAACCAGCATTCATTAACCTAGTGGTGGAGAAAGGTTGTGTTAAACCCCATTTCATTCATTCATTACTCAACTCCTACACAAACTAATGGGTCTTTTGTAAAATCAAATGATTAAAATATGCTAAAATCATGTCATTTTTCCAGTATGGAATCAACTGGCATGAGTCCAGGAGTGATATAGTTAATATGTTACTATAGATAATAACACATTCCCCTGCTCCCTATCAACCCAAACCCTATTGAAAAACCCCTATCTTTTTTTATATATAGACAGTTTTATTCCTTTTCAAGAAAGCAACTATTTTTCAATTTGCTCCATTTTTCTTTTAATTGTTCCTTCTCGATCTCCGATGTAAATGTATAATCGATAGCTCTGTAGGACAAGTCCCATAGTTCTTCTTTATTTAGATTAAAAGCTTTGGCCGTATTTGCATATTCATCGGATAATTCACATAAAAACACACCTCTTCCATCTGTACAAACGACTTGTGGATGTTTCTGGGCATACCAGTATCCAAAATGGTGAGCTTCAAAGCTTTCTGTTGTTTCGGATTTTAAATTTGACGTGAGACAATGCTCTAAAGGTATTTGTTTTGTTTTAACAATATCCAGTATTTCTTCGTACCCTTCCCCAGTCTTAAACTGGTGTAAGTAAGTTCCATGACCGATTCTATCTGGTGGCGACTGTTTTAATATTTCAAGAGTTTCAGATTCAATGTTTGGGATTTCTGACAAATGAAGAGCTAATTTAAGGCCATCTGTTTTAGCTTGTTTAAAAAAGGGTATAAAGTCGGATCCATCTAAAAACTGAGGATCTCCACTAAAATCAATACCTGGAACATACCCAGGGAATTCTTGAGCAATTTCTTTTGCTAGTTTTTCTGTTATTTCTGCGACTTCCAGACCACGCTGTCTGTCGATTGACGGTAGAATTTTAACCATGATGTCCAGATTTTCAGCTTCGCAGGCTTTAATAGCTTTAATCATAGTCTGTAAATAGGACTTCCTAGTCAGGCCTCCCTGTGGAATATCTTTAGGTGTTGATCGAATTTCAAGATATTTGACATTATCTGCTGCGAAATCGTGAATAATATCGTAAGTCAGCTTATATATGGAATACTCATCATCACAGACCTGAAAAATAAAATATAATAAACAGTGAAAAATGAGGTTTAAAGTCCACTCAACACAAACTAGGTCATTTAGGGACAACACACAGTTCAATTATTTTTCAATAATTCGCTTGCACATAAAGGTCTTTAGCTGCACATGGAAGGTAACCAAAATACTAGGTGAAAACATAATTCGTAGTGTAAACGCTATTCGGTCTGAGAACGGTACTCAGTACAGATTACTGCGCATGCGGCAAATGAACATTGACCTTTTTTCGTCGTGACTATTCTGTCAAAATGGCTGCCAGACTACCCAAACTAAATCAACCGCAATAACCAGGTAATCTGCATAGGGACTGAAATTAACTTTTCTGTGAAGAGTTCCACATTTGGAGTGCCTGGCACGGTTATGAGACCGGTTATTGTAGAGTAATGTAAACGGGTCAATTTCTTGAAATTTATCGCGGCTTGTTACCGTGCCCAGAACGGCACTCTTATCTCGGTCAAACGTAAACAGGGCTAATGACAGACCATTGTGATCTAATGCACGCACTTTAATTCAGCCACCCAACCCCAGGGATATAATAAGCAACTGAAACATTAAAAGATATTTCATTTTCAATTTTATTTTCAATTTATTAAGACTGAGTTTATCTTTACCAAAATGTTTAAAGAAGGCTTTCGTATCATCAGTGTGAAACAGTTTGCCTTATAAAAAAACACCTCTAACCTGATGAATCATTTTGAACAGTCTGAAAGCTGTTTTAAGTGATTCTGCTTCACCATCTTCCAAAAATACTTTGAAATCCTTGACTTCAGGTTTAGTTTCAGCTTTTCTATCCAGTAAATGCTGAAACGTTTTACGGCTAAAACTTGAATTAAGATGGGCGTGAAGCTCTACTTTTGGAATATCTCGACAAAATTTCAACATTTCTGTTACCATTGCTAAATCAGTTATTTATATAGTAAAGCTAAAAAGCTGAACTAAATCAAACGACTTTCTTATAAAACGTAAGCTTTGAGTTTTTAGCAATGAATAATATTTTGATTTCTATACCAAGGGGTATAACTCTATTCAATTGGTTTTATCTAAAGTTTGTCCATGGATCTGACACATGGGGGCCACACGTCAAGATGCAAAGAAATGAAATGAAATGAAATGGGGTTTAACGTCCTACTGTTCTGCTCCTAAACTGGGCTAATGAAGACGGGCATACGCCATACAGTGTGCTATGAGGGAAATTTTGCCCGGACAGCGGCGCTACGGCCTACTCTTATATCGAATTCCAGCTGCCAGGGGATCTTTTACGTGCACGCCAATATGTACACGAGACCTCGGTTTTTCGTTTTCTTTTCGTCCCATCCGAACGGCTAGACAGCTGCCTTTGTCAGGCCCTCCGTCCTGCATCACTGACAAGGGGAAACCACGCCGGAAAATCTGGATGAACTTTCTCGGCCAATGCAGGGATCGAACACCCGACCTCCAGGCTAGCGAGCCAGCGTCTTACCCACTTAGCCACGTGATCACCATGATGCAAAGAGAGAGATGGGGTTTAACGTCCACTCGAAACAAACTAGGTCATTTCAGGACCAACATATGGTTCAATTTGATTTCCATAATTCGCTTGCGCGTAGGGGTCTTTAGCAGTGGGAGGAAACCGGAGGGCCCGGAGAAAACCAACGAGGTTGGACAGGCGACCCTACTCCTTGTCACGTACAACTGGAGAATCGAAACCACGCCAGTTGAGCCTTATTTATGGTGTACGTCATACTGTAATTACCTTCAGTGGCGTGCACGTAATATGAACCCTTGACAGTTGGAATTCGATATAAGAGTAGCGCCAATGTCCGGGCAAAATTTCCCTCATAGCACACTATGTTGTATGACCTTATATAGCACACTATGTTGTATGACCTTATATAGCCCAGTTGGACCAAAACAGTTAAACCCCATATTATTTCATTTCATTTTCCATTACGTTCATGTGCTTTTCGCAAGAATTTGGCCTACCATAATCGGTATTACAAAAGACCCTTTTTTAGACGACGGGTAGGCTACCGTATCTGTTTTTATCAAAAATATCTCAAGGCAGTGTCCTCTTCAAATTTTATTTTATTTATTTTTGTTTTCATTTCCCAGTTTAGTTAATATCCGGAGAATATGGGGAACCGGAGAAAACCCACGAGGTTAGGCAGACAACCCTACAACCTTGTCATGTACAAGCTTGGGACCAACACCACGTCACTTGACTCAAGGACAGGCCTTATGATCTAGTTGCTAATGGTAACTACATTGGGTGGTAGGCTTATATCGGGCTAAATACGTTAACGAGGAATGCCAATTGGATCTGTAAATAATATACTTATTTAATCGGGTTTTCTTTTTATTTCCAGGGGTAAGCGGGGGGGGGGGGGCGCAGGGGCAGAATCGGATTTTCGGAATTTTTAGATGACAGCCTAAAAGAACCCTTGACAGTTGAAATTCTAAAAGAGTATAGGTCGTGGCGGCGCTGTCGGGGCAAAATTATCCTCATGGCACACTGCATTGCGCATGTCTTGAATATTGGATATCAGAAGCCCATCTTTTCACGGTAAGATTACAATATGGATGATACTGAGCTGGGTAACTTAGAGATTTGCCCCTTGTAACGAGAATTTCGTCTGAGTAGTGGATATGTATCTGAAAACTTTTATAATAATTTGATCGGGTGTTCTTTCCATTTCCGGGGATGGGCGTGCTGAAGAAATCGAATCTTCTGATTGTTTAGATGACAGGCAGTGATAAGAAACCATATTGTTGTCAGCACCGGGTTCCAATTAAATCTGTTTTATTCCAATTAGATCGAGTCTTTTGCAAGCCAGGCATCCTTTCGACCAATTCTGGTTGATAATATTTTCCATATAGCACACGGCATGACGCATGTCCGTCTTCTATAGCCCGTTTCATGTTATTTCTTTACGATCAATAAAACGAAACGATGTATTATGTAAAGACAACCTACCAACAATCTTATTATTATGTAAGGCCAGTCTTACACAAATAATTCCCTTTATAACACACAAGATGAACTTGTCTTAAAATAACAAACACTAAATAAAAGATGTGAGTTTCATTTATTATAATATATTTAACATAATATTGTAAAGCAAGAATTCTATGTCCCATGGAATATTTGCAAACTGCCGATTGTGGATCAACATGAGTCAAGAAATTTAAGTGAACGTTTGAAACTTGTCCTTGTTAAACCTGATGCACCGAGACGTTTGTACAAACTAGGTTTCTGAGCATTTATTTTCTTCTTTTACAATATTATATCAGCGGAATTGGTGTTGATCTTCCAGGCTGTACTGTATACTATTCGTCTGTTGAAAATCACATCTGTTGTTGCTTTTTTTAAAGGTCTGGAATGTTTGGTTTGCTTATCTACTTCTTAGAATTGGACAATTGCACTGAAAGAGAAAAATATTGATATTTAGCATGTCGTAGACAATTTACTTGACATTGGAGAAAGATCATTCTTACTTTACGCGTAATACAGCAAACAAAATTGTGGCTGCACAGCTAGGTTTTGTCTACTCTTCTTTGAATTCAGACTGCCAATGAATCTTTTACGTGCACTTCCACCTCTAACAATTGAGAACAGGGCTTGAAAAGACTCAATGTTTTGTTCTCTTTCAACGCCGAAATTTGTACCCAGGGAATTCTAGTGTCCCGACTTTTACTTTAAGGACATCAAGATTAGTAACACACAGTAATAGAATTATATTCCAATGATAAATATATTATTTACACAATTTCAAAACGACTCTATAATGGGAAAAAAAACCTGGAGCAAACGAGGTCAAAGGGTGTTCCCATAGCAAACCTAAAAGATAACCAGCATTATTTTTTTTTTGTCATTTAAAAATATTGACACTGATCCCATCTCTGAAAATTACACATCGTTTGAAATCTCAGTTATTTATCTTTATTCCTGAAATTTCTACCAAATTTAGATTTATTTTTGAAATCAGATTTGTCATGATACGGGGTATACTTACTTGTCGACACAACTGAGAACACTCGAACCAGCTGGTTCAAAACCACTTCCTCCCATACCTGTAGGCCTACAGGTTTGATTCTCTCCACAGACTTCACCGTTGCATTTACATTCACCCCCAGAACAAGTTAGAGGTTCACAACACTCAACATTTTTACACGGGTCTAAAATTTAAAACAAAAACATAAAAGCATTGGCTTAAATCAAAGCGCCCGGCCGATAATATTTCAATGTTGCAGATTTTCCGCCAATGCGCTATGAGGGACATTTTGTCGATACAGCGCCACTACCGAGTACCGCCTACACTTATATCGAATGCAAACTGTCAAGGGTTATTTTATATGCATGCTAACATGTACACAGAACCTCGGGTTTTCGTACGATCCGAACGACTATTGAAACCGACGAGCCATAGCAGCATGCTAAACACTGACAAACCATCAAACAAATACGTCCAAGGCAAATTCTTTCTCAATTTTATGACTACGGTATTTACAGGTATTGATGTACTTTTTCGACTTTCTATTCCTGTCCCAAAGTACAGAAAATAGCAGTCTAATTTTCAAAATTTTCTGATTGCAAACCCTATGCCCCCGCCACCCAACCCTCTCCTTCACGTCTGTCTGCTTTGCGTTTTCCCGACCCACGCGCTTTTAGTTAATGACCCAAAATACAAAGTCTTACCACAGCATCTCTCACAAACACCTGCATTCTTTACCCTCTGACAGCTGACGTGTCTCAACGATGGTCTGTTATGTCTATTACGACGTCTATTACGACGACCGCTATGACTCGCTTCAGCAACAATCATAACTACAGCAACCAAGAGAAGAACGGTCAGCAAAAAACGCATGATGATAAATCTTTCAGATCAACGACTATACAGAGAGTACAGAAATCAAAAAGGTAAGTGATTAATTCAGAGATACCTGTGTCTTTTATACAATTCACAGGTAGACAGCTGCTAATATATTTTACAAAAATAGAAAAGTTACAAGTTTCTTAAATGTTAACATGTTGTTTGACAATTTTGATTAAAATCATCAACGTCATTTATCAATTTTTTTAAAAGATAGTTTGAGCTTGTGGTGGCTTTGCTTTGGGAGTATTTTTTCTGTTGTGTACGTGGAGGTTTGGTGTCGTCATTTGATTCGATAACCAGTCTCACGTGTTCACGTGAATTCAGTGAAACGACACCAGTCTCGATTCTACATGTGTATTTAGTTTCTGGTGCCCATATAGAAATGAAATGAAATGGGGTTTAAAGGTCCTATTGTTTTGTACCGACTGGGCAATATGTTGTTCGAGTGGGACAACAACTGGAGGAGATCTCGTGTACATATTGGCAAGAACCCATAGGCCTACTGGAATTCGATATAATAAAAATAGGCCACAACGCCGGCGTACGATCAAAATTTCCCAAACAATTACAAGTAAATGTTTTTTTTATAGTTTCTAGTGGAGTTGGGTGAACTGCATGACAACCTCAAAGTGTACCAAGTTATTAAAGTTTTTTCCTTTAAAAGGTAAAACTTCTGACAAGCATAAAGTCGTCAATTTTTAAGCTAAACAAAGGGCCAATCCTTCATATGAAATGGTGGTAAGTTGTTATAAATACTTGATCGGTAAAAACTAAATATTTTAAAACAATTTTTGAAATGAAATTAAATGAAATGGAATGGGGTTTATCGTCCTACTGTTCTGCTCCGAACTGGGCTAATGAAGACGGGCATACGCCATACAGTGTCCTGTGAGGGAAACCTTGTCCGGACAGCGGCTCTATGACCTACTCTTATATCGAATTCCAACTGTCAAGGAATCTTTTACGTGCATTCAAATGTGTACACGGAACCTCGGTTTTCGTCCCATCCGAACGACTAGACAACTGCCTTGTCAGGCCCTCCGTCCTGCATCACTGACAAGCCGGAACCACGCCGGAAAATCTGGATGAACTTTCTCGGCCAATGCAGGGATCGAACACCCGACCTCCAGGCTAGTGAGCCAGTGTCTTACCCACTTAGCCACCGTGACCCCCCCCCCCCCCCCCCCAAAAAAAAGGTTTAGGAATTGTACAACAGTTTACATGTGTAAGAGGTTGTTATACTTGTCACATGTATAGTGTGTATCGATGTGTGTTTGAGAACAGACAAATTTGAAACCAAATCTTTGTCGGTTTCTTGGAAAATGAACTTTGAAAATCAGCCCACATTGCAAATAGCTCAAATCTCTTTATTTTAAATGGTAACCATGCATAGAAATCGTCCGTGAAATATTTGAAATTTGGGGGTAATGGTGAAAGGCCCATCTGTGGGAGTACCATTTATGATTTACGATCAAATACACGGAAAATTCAAGAGTGGAATGACCCACGTGTATTTGGTATGTTATATAGGTGAAAGCTCACTAGTCCGCGGGTTCATTAGTCCACTGATATAGCGGCGCATCCGCGGATTAGTGAACCCCTCTCGTCAGGTATAGTAATAAAAGTTGTTGTTTAAAATATCTTTCAAGTTCATTTGAATTAATAATTAAAAGAAAATCTTGCCGACCCCCAAGTTTACATGTGATAGAAATGGTAAAAAAAAAAAAGATTCTAAATATAATTTTAACATGGAGATCTTTGCCATGGTGTATCTGTAACAACAATTTGTAGATTCTGAAATGAGTGCAAATAAAGGAAATAATTTAGTGTTACCGAATGAAGTTGGAAACCGGCTATTCATAAGAAGAACTGAAAAATTTAATTGAACTTGGTTTATTGGCTGTATTTTTGGGTATTTGTCTTGCTTTTTCTGATCTATGTGTCTTTTGAATAGATGGTTTAGAATTATATCCCCTTACAATTTTCTATAATAACTTGTCTTAAAGAGTTAAGTTATCAGTGAGTTGCTTTATTATATAGTTACCTTGACTAAGTTCAATAATGAGAATTTTCTGCTAAGGTGTGATAAGCAATTTGATTGGTCAAGACTTTGGAACATAAAGACTCTGCTTTCAATAATAATTCAATAATAGAATGTTTAAAGTTGATGGAGATGTTCATTAGGTGAATATTTTGACCGAGTTCAATGATTTGATTTGATTTAATTTGTAATTGTGTTGTTATTGTAGCAAGATCTCCGGTATTTCAAGCCATGTTTGAATATTATTACTACCTAATTTATTGATGATTTTTGATGTATTTAATACAATTTTCTGTCTAATGAAATATGGAAAAGTTAAAATTTACTTCTGAATTTTTATCAAACTTCATAATAATAGCTTTTTATCATGTTGATAGTAAGTAATAATAATGATGTTTTTATCATTAAGATCTTGGTTCCTTTTGATAATTATTAACATTAGTGTTACTTTGCTCTTATTTTTTGAAAAAATTTTCACAAGTTGATTTCCTTTATTTTGTTAATGTAATATGGTAACGAACTGCTCTTTTCATTTTCTTTGTTTTATTTGTTTCGTTTGAATTAGATTTATCTGTTTAGTTTTTGATTGTTTAATTTTTGTTAATGAAGTTGATTCTTTTAAACTTCGTTTTTATTTTTGAACTCTACTTGGTGTAGGTGTTCATCAGGTAATACCTCGACTGAGTTCAATATTGAGATTAGCCGGTTGATTTGTTGGATATAAACCTTTGAATAATAGCGCCTAACAGGCAGCTGTGTTTAATTATGTTCTCCTGATTTTGATTGTTTCTGTGTGTTTGAAGTATATGTTTGTGATATGCGCTTAGAAACACTTCACGTGTAATGAAGCGCTATATAAATCGAACAATAATAATAATAATGATAATAATATATGTTGTGTTAAACTCCGTGTTTGTATTTTAGCAAAGTGACTTCCACTTAACCCAGATACGCCAGAGACTATGTATCTGTAGAAAATTATCGAACCCGCCCCCCCCCCCCCGTCTCCCCCCCCCCGTCTCCCCCCCCCCTCGCCCTCTCGCTGTTCACTGCTTATCCCAGGGCCGACGACAAGGCACGGGAAACCCTGTCACGGGCCCTGAATATAGGCCGTTTACGTCATGTCTTTCTGTGGTTGCCATCTTATAGTTGGTAGTTGGGAATGATCATCTTGTGCTTGAGGCAAAGGAACTGCGTTTATGAACTATCAAGATAATATTTCTGGTACAGTTTACGATAGTTATAGGTTTTATTAGATGCAGGGTTGAGAGCAGTTAACTTATTAACTGGTTAAAGTATAAATGAGATTAACGCGTAAACATTCTGCACACAGAGCACCATCTACTTCATATTTCGAGAATAGATCTCTGCCCTAAATGGCCGCCATATCTAATAATCAGTATACTTTTTTGTAATTAGGTTCTACTCCGTTTCACATCTGTCATACACACAAAGACTAAATAAACTTTTTCAATTGTATTAAATGGAAGCAGAATAAATCCTTAACAAAATTCTCGAAGTTTACTTTGTGTTTTCGACTAAAATAGTCAATTTGGGACTTAAAATGTCGCTCAACTAGCTTAGTGTCTGTTCTCAAGCGGAGCTAACTGTAGACAGGCAACCTTAGTTTAGTATGACGCGTTAATAGAAATGAATTAACGGGTTAACACTGTGACGTCATATATGCACATTCGGCAGGAAATTCGTTATACAGACCCATAAAAGGGCCTAATTTATGCAAAATAGCACCCAGAGACCACATCGCCACTGTCGCTTAAGTTACATCTGCCGAATCGCAAGTCTCCGGTCGAAATAACTTGATCTCCAGTCTACCTTGAATCAAGGGTCAAGGTCGATTTATTTATAAACGTTTTCCCATCAAAATGCCAACTAAATCCTGGATTTAGAGTCCAGAATAAAGATAATAATCAAGAAAAAATTCTGTTCACTCTCTGAAATAGTTCAAATAGGTTGGGTTCGAAAATGGCCATGTTTTAGCAGCTTCGATAATTAACTCATATTAACTCGTTAACTTTAAAATTTTAAGACGTTTACCAGTTAAAGAAAATTTTAATTTCCTCTCAGCCCTGATTAGATGACAACAATAGAAAGACGTGGCAAAATAATACATCATAAAATGTCCATATTGCGTTAAAGACACCTCAGTGTGATGTTCCGATAACATCAAAATAGATTTATAGGGAATAAAGCCAAAAGTTTAAATGTTTACGTAGGCCTACATTGTAGATGTGCCGGTAGCCATAGTATATGTCAGTATAGGGCTATAGGACGTCAGACAACTTTTAATGGGCTCGTTTGACATTTTGATATCATATTCATATACATGTACATGTATGTTCATAATACATAGGCCTATATTATAGGGTCTCAAACCAACCATTTAGGATTTTCTTGATCATTGATTGGGCGATCGTCGGCCATCTTGGATTTTACCCAGTTTTACCTACGAATTTGATAAACTTTTGGAATGTTATAAAGCAGGGGCGGATCTAGGAATTTTGAAAAGGGGGGGGGGCGCCGCAAAATGAGGGCACTGACCGCGGAGACGGGGCACGCCGCTGAGAGGGGATTTTTTTTTTGGGGGGGGGGGGCAAGAAAATTATCCGTCATTTCCTTGCATCTGTAGCCATTCCAAGAGCTATTTGGCTGATATTTTCGTCTAAGTAAACGTTCGGAAATCGTTTAAAAAGAGCCTTAAAATCGAGCAAGAAAGCCAGTTGAACATGCGACTTGAAAATTGTCAAGGCGAGCGAGGCATTATGATGGGAAAAAAGACGAATCTATTCCCTAGCCACTTCACTATTTAAGCCTTGTAACTTGTACTTTGTACTGTCCACACATGAAACAATGCTGCATCAAGTTGCACTCATGCGCGTCGGTGATGGGCATGAGTGTATACGCCGCCGATTCCACAAGATGTCTGTCTATAGTCACTATATAGGATTAGGGCACCGTCAGCTAAACAACAAGAATTCGTTTGAAAGTGGAAGCATTAA